AAAGTTTTTTCTTAAGAAACATTTTATAACTATCTGGACATTATAAAATTTTGCATGTGAAATTTCAAAATTTTCTGATGCATAGAAGTATTTTTAATCTTAAATTGAATAATAAGACCAGCCAAGAAACAACGCAAGGTAATGAGTAAGAATATTGTTGAGTACGTGAGAAGTTCGTTCTGAATTATAGCATTTGTTATAGAGTGACTGTTGAAATTAAGTGTATCGCAAAGTTGTATTCAGAAAGAATAAACCAGTTTTATTTAAGAAAGGACTTGTATCGGTAAAATTCTTCGGGTTTTAATTAATATATTTCTGTCATCAGATCTTGACTGCAATTTGGGAAGATCAGTTGCTATGTAGACTTCTTCTTTCAATTTATTTCTGTCTTATCATGAAGTTAATTGTTTGAAGTCATGTCTATCTGAAATTAACCTTCAGTCTCTAAAATATATGTTGATCACACTTGTAATGCACTTACAAAACAAAATCATCTCAAAAATGTTGAAGAGATTTTGAATCTTGGGCACAAAAATGCCACAGTTACAGCTGAAGAGCAAAAATAATCTAAGTTAACTTTTCAGGACAGAGCTCTCTGTATTGATTCAATGACATGCACCCTTGGGACAAGAATCAAGGAGCATGCACAGGCCAGACACTACATCAACTTCTATATACAACTATCACAGTGAGGTTTGTAATGACTCTCCTAAATCAGCCATTTTAAAATCACTGCTAAAAGTGCAGTGTGTGTTCTGTGTTAAATCGTGATATTGAACCTTAGACCTTCCAGACTGCAAATGTGTCTGTGAAATGCTAAGTCAAGTCCAGCCTAGGTAACAAACTCCTTGAAAAAATTTGATATTACACAGATGTAAAATATATTTCATAAGACATAAGTAAGAAAAAGTATTACCTTCAACATGAAAACCTCAATATGATAAATCTGATAACCTTAGCACTTTCACCAGATAGTCTTTTAACTTTTCAGAAATTCAACCCTGATAAGTTTGACCTATACAGGAGCTGAAGAACAAAAAAAAAAAGTTTTTGCATTAGGATTGCTGCAAAGAGTTGATTGAATCGCATGTTAGAACATAATTAAATATATCATTTAGTTTTAAAGATTAAATGTTCCCTGTGCATAGAATGGATAACCTGGCTAGTTGTTTTGATGTATTACATACAAGGCAATGCCAGAAAACTAAATTTTTAGGAGAGACTTAAGCAGGTTCTGCATACATAAGAAGAGACCAGACCAAAGTCATGTCTACATGTGAGCATGCCTTAGTAGTACCCAGGCTACTTTAAAGGCTTGTCTATGTCACTTTCCAAAAGTGTTCAGATTACAGGATTTCATGTACTTTGATTCATTCACAATTTTTTATCCTATGTGTTTACTTTTTATCACCTAGCAGAAAGGTACTTGTGTTTATACTCTGTACTCTAGTTGCATAAGATGGTGCATCCTCATATCATTGTATATGTAACAACAAACAATAAAGGATGAAAATCCAAACCAATACATACAGAGATGAAAAATTTACTTTTAATAACTGAGTAAGATGATTGGATACTTCATCTGACCCGATGAAGCTCTGTGCATGCAGCTTGAAAGGTCATCCAAAAAGAAATAAGGCAAGTACAGTCCAAAGAAGTCTTCGTTCAAGTACTATCCTCTCTGCCTTAACTTCCTGTTAAATAAAAATTAAGTAAGTTTTCCATACCTTAGGTAATGGGAACATAAACCAGGCAATAAGAACCTTTTAATATGATCCTTTACAATTGTAAGAAAATGTGAAATCATACTACAAAACTACCCAGATAATACTTACATTTTGATCTTTATTACAAACTCATTTTCCAAATATTTTGATTAAGATAAAAAACTAAACACACACACACACACTCATTTAGCTTCATACATTTTTATTAATTTTATGGTCTCATACTAGTGAGATACATAACAGGAAAACTGCAATAGCATAGGTCCAACAATCATTAGGGTTGATTAGACAATTTGGCTTTCAAACTAAACCTAGGTTGGAAAATACAGTTCACGGACAAGGAAATATATAGTTAATGATGGTGATTGGAAAGAATGAATTATAGTTTGTTAGTGTAACATCAGAAGAAAAGCTCTCTCTTAAATTTTCTCTCTCTCTCATTTTTTTTTTTTACAGACACATATTCCTATCCAAATCCTGATTATTATTTTTTCTATGACAAAACATCAGATAAATTCAATAATCTAGATATTTTGACCATTCTTTATATCTTTGATTAATCAACAAATGACTAATTCTTAGTCTACTGATTAAGGTACATTCAAAAATAAATCCAATAGTTTTAAATGAAACTACACCATGGAATTCCTTTCCACCCCATTCTACCCAGTTATGTATTTCTAACAAAATCATAGTTGAAAATCATTTTTTAAGAACAAATTTTAAAATCTTTAATATTTGTAGACCAAGAAAAGCCCTTAAAACATACACTTATTATTAACTGAATTTAGGATTACAACAGCAAAAAAGGAAGATTGGAACAATTGGTTATACACATCTTTCACAATAATATAATTCAGGATAAGCAATTTCTTTCACAGTGCAACATATATTCAATCAAGAACAATTTTCTGGACACCACAAAATGGTCAAGTCCTCAAGATTTACACTTGACAAACTCTGAAAGTTACATAAACGTGTTATCTTTGTATCAACAAAAAACTATCTTTAGATCTGTACACCCACTATACTGCTTATAAAAACAAAACAGTCTCCTCCACTCTTCAGTCTTGCTCCTTGCTTCAGTGAACAGTGTCCCCTGCTGTCACATACAAAATACTCCAATATTCCATGATGACTGAATCAAAAATCACTAAATAGTTTTATCTGTGCAGGAATAAACTTGTGGCACAAGTAACACCTACAGCCAATAGCTCTGACACTTCAATGAGGAGAAGCCTAGACAAACTATTAACTGAAGCAATATGGACTGAGCTTTAGCTCTCGCCCACGGGTAATGTTTTTCTGAAGCTGAGAGGAATGGGTCACATTAGACTACATCCCATAGCTTTGATAGCCTGGCACAGGTTGGTTAAAAGGCTGATACCCTGGTCCCATCATCATTGGGCCCGCAGTTAACATCAGTTGGGGTTCAGGAGCTAAATAGACAAAAAACAACAACTTTAAAACATAATAGTTTCTACCTCATTTTTTGTACTTTTTAAGATTAAGATTTTTCATTCCTGATTTGAATATTTCAAAATCAAGACTACCAAAAATTCTTAAACCTCTTAGCAATAAACTTTAGGAGTCAGACAGAATTAACAACCTTTGCAAAGCTAGTAGAATAACTTCTGAATTTGTTTTTCATTAATTTAGTATTTTACATATGTGTATATATATATATATATATATATATATATATATATATGGTGGAATATAACTTAAGAAAAATGTCTAAACTTACCATAAACTATTGGTTTTTGATCATTCTGGGCTGATTCTTCCAATCTTTCATTTTCATGTTCATCTAACTTGTCCACCTAAACAACAAGCAATATTCAATTATTCTACATTAACTATTCAATGGTACTTATAGTACACAAGCAAACTGAAGAACATGCACAAACTTCTATGTTTGAAATACTATACTTTGTTCTTAGGCCTACTTTATACTCTTTCTACAGCCTAGCATCCCAAGGGTATGTAGAAGTATACTTTAAACAACATACACAAGTAAATTTAATGATTAAATCTATTCATCTATTTCTGATGGTTGAAATCTTTTAGTAAATTAGCTAAAAACAACAACACACCTAACTTAAATTAACAATTCAAAAAGATACCTACTGATGGAGTCAGTTGAGGAAATTGATACCACCATGATTTCATTTATCATTAACTTATTTAATGTTTCTAGTTATTAGATAACTTTGTTTCCTTTTTCTGTCTTTGCTCTTTTTTTCAGTATTTTCTTCATTTTAAAAGCATTAAAGCTTTTTCTCCGAGTCAGCTTGTTTTTTATTTCATGTTGGTAAAAATTAATTGGTAATTGAGTGTTTTCTATTCTTTTGTTGATCCTACTTCACCCTTTCCATATGTTTTTTTATGAAGGCACATGACAACATTAAAATTAGATTTCTCTCTGATTTCCTATCTCAAATCACTTACAAAATAAAAACAACTGAAATGTACAGAGTTAGAATTATAGTCTAATAGATTTTTACACATCCTTCAGAAAAACTAATTAAATAAAAAGAAAATTCAAACAGAAAACCCTGCTTTCATAAGATATCCATTTATGTTAGTTTTGATAATTTACAAGATATTTCATTATAAGCTTTCCACAAGATGGACTAATGCATAATGCCCTTAGACCTTTGATTGAAAAATCATAGCCACCAGAGAATACATTTAAATACAAAATATTCATGATTATTGCTTTACGATTATTTCATATTCTTACCACCTTAAAAAACATTAAAATCATGATTCATTCCAATAAATTTCATTATTTCAACTGGGCCTTATCAAAGTCTTTTTTTTCTTTATGCATATTATTTCTTTCTGGTTGGACAACTCATAAGCCTGGGTAGAAGCAAAAGCTTAGAAATGTTTTGTCTCAGACAGAAGTGTAGAAGGTTATAGCATAAAACATCATGTTCAGTTCACAGAAACAATCTTTTCATTTTTATTGATTACAGAAAAGATATTTAATATTATTAAATAATATCTTATGAGCAACAAATGATGATGTACCTTTGTGATGTACTCTTTGAGGACTTGGATTAAGTAGGGCATGGCAAAGTCCATGATTCCATGACGCCAGGAGAGTTCCAGAATGACATCAGGATGGAGAAGATAGTAGCAATAGAATAGGCATGCACCAAAACATTCATAATTCTTCTCCTCAAGGAACCAGGCCAGCAGTTCTTCAGCTATATCAGCCATCTTAGACTCAGAAGCATATTCCATTGCATCCTAACACAAGATAAAAAAAAAAAAGGTGTTCATATAGTTACTTTTAACACTCTCTATACGGGCTCGGTCAATTTGATCGACCACGTGACCTCTTTGTACTCCTTCAAAGTCTTTATAGATTTGACACTACTAACTTTTAATATAATGTGTATATTTGAACAAAATTTGTCAGTCTTTCAGTAAACATTATAAGTCTTTCACATACAAAAAATCATATTTTGTAGTGAAGTATTTTTAATAAAATAAAGATTTGTCTGTAAATATAGAGTATTTCAACACTATTTGTTTTAAATAGTCCATGTGCAAAGTAATTTTCATGTTAAGATTAAAAATACTTTTCTTCATCTAAAAAATCTCAAATTTCATTTGTGTAATCTCTAAAACCTCCTAAATAAATTAGGTGTTTGTTTTCAGTAAAACTTTATAGTTTATCTGTAATTTTCTCTACCCTAACTCTATACTAACCTCATAACAACTAAAAAAATTTTTTTTAAAATTCAAATTACCCTCTTTTTATTTCTAGAATGACTTCAAATATAACATGAAACTACATCCGTTTATCCTATATAGCTTTAAACTTGTAACAGTATACACTTATTTATAATTAAGTTTTATTGCTCTTTGAACTGTGTTTAACTACTATTCGTACCATTATAACTTGTCAATCACTTGGGGAACATACAGCTCATGTTATGCTGTTGAATTACATTACCTATTAGCTACTCTTAGCTGCTCTCGTGCGTGCCTCGTGATATATTTTTATTATATTATTACTTATTTTACCTAATCTTTCCTAATCTAACCTTTCCAAAAAATACTTAAAACTACAGTTTTCGTGTCACATGATTTGAAAAATATTGACTTTTGCAGCATTTCACTCTTTGCCACATATGATGGCAATGTACATGAGTATGACCTATTTTACATATGATATCCAAAGTCTGCAGCCGAGTTCCCTGGGAAACAGATATACATTTTACAACCCTTGATGGTTGCCATGCCCACCTTCTATACCTTGCCTTGAGATTCACAATGTACATGTAGTTAGTTGCCACAAGTGTACATAGTCATTAGAAAGAGCAAGCTTTATGCTACACTCTACCAGTGGTTAATTTCAAATTGGCAGGTAGTTTTCACCACGGTGTACATGTAACTGCTGTTCGTATTGTTGTCCGCTTGATCAACTATAGCACTTATGGTGGTTTCTTACCTAAATATTTTATAGTTAGAGACAAACTGTATTTAGGTCTTATTTTTGAATTTTAGTTAATTATATATTATGTTTTAAAAATCATATTTGATAGTTTAATAATTTTTATAAGTTTAACTTGTAACCTAGATTGTGAAAGATTATAAAGAAGATGGTATATATAAGTGCCACCTTGTTTCTGCAACATGCCTCTGCATGGTGTCTGATGAAATACTTTTATAAAACTCGTGGGCATTAGCTGATCTATAGGCATAAATGATAATAGACAAAGAATTTCAAAGGAAAATTTAAAATAAGCTATAAGTGAAAAGATAAAGACGTGAAATTACGCATACAAGAAAAATACGATTATCCTAGTGTATTTCTAAGTAGAGTTGAAAGGTATGTACGTATTTTTATTTGTTAATTTGAAACATTTCATGGCACTGTATGTTGATGATAATAGCTAGTTAGTGATATAGTAAAGAAAAAGGAAAATAAAATATAAATATTTATCTTAAAAAACTTTCAATAATCATTTATGAGATTTTAGAGATTATACAAATGAAATATAAAAACTGTAAAAAATAGTATTTTCATACTCCATATAAAAATCACGTTGCAGATGAACTATTTAGAGTGAGATTGCAAATAACTATATTAAATAACGAATTTTTTTTATTAGAAATAGTACCAAAAATTAAATGTATTTTTCTGATACTACATACTTTTAGAAATGTTCTTGTCAAATTTTAAACTATTTCATATACTAGTTTTATTTTCGGAATGAAATACGACGAGAGCAATGTTACATACTAAAAAATTAGTAGCTGGTAGTCATAAGGTTAAGTGGTTTTAACACTTTTAAGAAAATGTTTCATCACAGGATGCAAATCACACACAAACATCTACTCTTTTTTTAATGTTTTTTTTCTTCGGTTTGGGGCGAATTACCAGCACTCAGTCAATCTATTTCAGGTTGATTTGATTTCTTACAATTTTCTGTTTACATATATTACCACATGAGCAGCAGCAAAAAAATCATGCCAGTTTTCTAAAACAGATAAACTACATCTAACAACAGAATCTGATGTGAATGATTGCTTTGAACTACTACTATTATTACTAGTAGCTTTTACTGATTCAGACCTTAAGGATTCAATATAGAATTTTTATGCCTTATCAAAGTTACTGTTATCAAGATGTGAACAGCAAATACCTTAAATAGCCTATCCTTCTTACAAAGTTCCACTGACTGTTTCCAGCGATTATTTCCTTTGTACAAGTATGCAGCGATTCGTCGGAATTCAATGAGTTCATGCTTTTCTAAGCATTGAGCAAGAGCTATATTGTCAAAGTTATCGAAAGCATCAATGGATGTTCTAAGACCCTGGAAATCTTCTTCATCAATGAGGAGACCATTGAGAGCTTCATTAATAGCCTTGTTGTTTAGATTCTGAACTGAACGCAAGTATGGCTTTACCAATGGTAGGTGATTTACCTATGATGTTTAGTAAAGAAAAAAGATATGGTTGAAAAAGCTATCAAACAAGTAGTACTTTCTTCAATAAAGCAAATTATAAACTTTAAAATATACCTTTTTCAGCAAGTTGGCATTATATTTGCATTAAAAAAATTAATCATACACAAAGAAATTATATCTGAAACACATACTTCAAACAATGAGCAATACTGAACATAATATTTTTATATTCATCTTATTATAAATGATATGAAAGCACTACATGACACCTGTATACTATGCCATTATACCACATACCTGTAATTGTCAACCTAAATTTCACATTATTATTAGTGACTATACAATCACAGACATAATGATTCAATGCACTACACAATTTTAATGAAAGTTTCTAGTAAAATATCCTAATGTATTATTAAAAGTAATGTATAGTATTTATCTTATTTAATTTACAAAAGTTACTTATGCAGTCCTCTCAGAAATCACATACAGCAATTTCAAAAATATTCCTCTCTTAACCTAAGCTCATGCAAGGACAAATTCCATGATAAGGCTTCACAGTTTCAAATAACAAACACGAAATTTTGTAAAGGAAAAACAGAAATTTCAAAATAATTATTTCATATAAAAACCCTTTTTTTTAGTTAGGTGATTTGAAAATGTGATCAAAGAAGGCTTCTGATGTAATAATTAAGAGTTTAACAATTTAAAATCTAGTGAGGGAAAAAAGGAACTGTACAATAGAAAGATTGCCAGGAGAAAAACACTTCCAACTTTCAGACAATATATTTATAATTTCACTACTTTTAAACACTTGGTAGTTGTAGAACAAAAAATGTAGTCACTTGACTTTCACATTCTGACACCATAAACTTGAAAAATTCACTGTTTTCAAACTATTTAAGCTGTAAATAAGTAATAAACATGTATGAAGACCAGAGGTATGCATTTTTGTTTTGTATGTTGACTTTTATCTATGCAAGCAACATCAGTAACATATACATCAAAACAAAATTCTAAATATGAACATTTCAGTTAGCTTTTTTTCTGTAGGTGATTTCAGTGAAGAGACCAAACAGAATTTTTAAAGATTAGTGATGTCATTTGACCTTGCAAAAAAAAACAAGATACTGTATTGGAAAGGGATAAATAGTTTGTTGGTCTGCATCAAGTTATGTTGCAATAAAAATCAGTGTTTATTTTTTTAAAAACAGAGAAAAAGACTTTCACTTTCATACCAAAGATTCATTATTTATTTACTTAATTTTACTTATGCCTATTATCCAGGTTTTGTATAACTTAGACACCAGTAAGCTTCAAGGAAGTACAATTTTTCAAAATTTGTTGATGTGAAAATTGTACATCCAAACTATTCAAATCATGTTGAATATTTATGCATGATTTTGACCTTTCCCAAATTTGGTTTGAGAAAACTATGCTAAGAAAAACTCCATGATTACTTCTTAACATACAAAGTCTACACCATAAAAGGTGGTGTATTTTATAACAACTAGAGAATAAGGCTCACAATTAAAGATACCCAAACTTTTGCGAAGAAAAGATTACTTCAGAAGTTGAAATGGAATTCACATCTGAAGAAACAGTTTATTTAGTTATTTATACCTACTGAATGAGGCTGTTTATTTACACTTCTGAATACTCATGCATGGGGTTATCCACTCATGGTTTGGTTTCCATGTTTCACAAAAAATGCTATTGTCAAAAACTGAGCTAGTTTTCTACTAAACAGTGTAGAATATAAATTAAGTTTTTAAGCTTTCACTAACAAGTATAAAGTTCAACTTTACCCTGGTAAAAAGGTTCACAGCTCGTGTATGGTCCATTCGTGCTGACAGGACAAGCAACAAATCATTTAGTAACATTGGTTTGTAATCTAGATAAAACTGAATGGCTTTGTAGTAGAGCTCAATGTTTGCTACTTTGGCTATCATTTCTTTAAAGTGCCCTTCCCGCCATGCTTCACTTGGATGGTTTATCATAGTAACAACTGCATTGTCAAACTCTTCATACTTGTCATATAGGAACACCAATTCAGCCCATAAGTGAGCTTGTTCTGCTGCCCGCAGCACCTACAAGTTGATAATTCGAGTTATTTTAATGTACAAGCATAATATACAGTTAATAAAATCTTATGTTACTGTAAGTCCATCACTTTAGATATGGTTTAATCCTTATATTTTAAATCAACCTAGTTCCCAAATAAGCCAAGCTTAGAGAAACAGGTTAATCAACTAATCTTTAATTTTTTCTTTTTGTTTTTACCAAAAAACTGAAGAAAATACTAAATTCTGTATAACTTTGATAGAGTTATATAAAAAATTATGTCTTTTATATTACATTTAATTACAAATCAAAGAAATTAAAGGCTTCACGATCCTTTCTGGGAATGTACAATTACATATAAATCAGCAAAACAATGCTTTCATAAAAAGATAAAACAGATAAAAAACTTACCTTTGGAATGTTGACTCGAGACCAGAAAAGTTCTAAGTGTTCTTTCATCTTGGAAGGTTTGTACTTTGAGTACAGAATAGCTAATTCTGTAAACATTCCCATGTGGGCTCTTTCTAGACCTACAGTTCAGAAGTTACCAATTAAAAGAAGGAAAACTGTAAAACAACAACAACTAAATCAATGGAAAACAAAATATATGGCCCAATTACAAGATACCAAGGGCTCTGATCCAAAATAACTTTTGCAACCACTGAGTAGTTCAAAAATTATGTGGTTCACGAAGGTATTCGGTCTCACATTTAATAAGTTGTTTAAAATATGAGCAACAGTAAGCTCAGTTTAACACTTATCTTTAAACACACATACACACACACTGGCATTACTATTGGAATATTTTGAAAATCTTTTTTAGAGCTACTAACTTTCAAAGATGTTATCATGTGCCTAGAGTGTACAAGTATTTTGCTCTACAACTGGGGAACTGTATTACATTTGAAGAGCATAAAAATCCTATACTACTTACAAATAACTGATTGCAAAGATAGGTCTACAGATGAACATTACACTGTCCATTCAATAATAGATTGCCAATTTGGCCACTGAAGCTATTAGCTGGCAATCAAAACCAGAAGGATAATGAAAATAGGACCAAGCCATGCATATTTAAGAGGGGTTGATATCTGTTAATGATCATCCATGAACCCTCTTTTGCAGCCAATTCCACATGTACGCCTTCACTTTATAGGGATATGTCAAAGAGCTTTCTGTATCTTTGGCTCTGTACATTAAAACAACAGTCCATATTAAACTGCACCATTCACAGAATAAACAGTAAATATATTCACTACTCCTGTAGTTTCAGTATTTTGAAGGTGACAATGTGTTTTTTTTCCAAAGGATCATTCTAATGAATTACATAATGAATTTTACATTCTCTGAAAAAGCAGAACTAGAACATGACATAATAGGTGTATCGCCATTTGAATATTATATAGTATCAACAATAGGTAAGAGTGATTTAATCAAGAGTCACTGACCTCCCAACAAGTGCTTTGGTAGTAAGCAACAAATAAAACAAAATAAATGGTTTCGAACACACCTAAAGCTGCTTCTAGGAGACTAATCAGTTCTTCAAAGTAGCCTCTATCTTGATAGTAGTTGATGAGGTCTTCTAGCTCATCAGCATGTACCACTATGTGAAGCCCACACATCTGGGCAAGGCGGAATTCTTCACTATCCACACATGCGAAACACACCTAAGAAACAGAGAAATTTAAACTTGAAATTGTAGCAAACTAACATGCTATCAAATTTAGGTTTCTTAAAGTATTAATAAATAATATTACAACCAACTGCCTAAATAACAATTTACTATAACACTTAAACAATTTCATACATGTTGTTTAAAAGCAGGGTTAGTTGGAGAATTGTTCTTCATATTTAACTCTTTCAGCTTGGGCTCGGTCCCGGGGACTGACCTCGGAACCATTTTGTGCTTCTTATAGTTTTCATGCTATAACTTTTAAATTAGTAAGCAAATGTTAAAAAATATGGCAGATTATCAGAAAACATTACAATGCTTTCATACGCAAATATCAATTTGTTTTACTAAGTCTTCAAGTTTGTTAAACAATGTTTTTCTCATGTCTTTTTTTTTTTTACTTTTCACATGTTGCCTATTTATCATGTAAAGTAATATATATATATATATATATACAAGACTACCCCAATCTAGTAGTCTCCCGACATTTCATGAAGGTTCGAGAAGGAAGTGGCGGGATACAAGAGTCACGTGACCTGCGTTGTCGTAACAGTATTATAAAATACCAATTAGTAATATTTTTGAAAAGCCATATCCTATGGAAGTAAACTTAATTGTAAATGCATACATTTTGAAGAGTTACTGTCTTCTGGAGAGAAAAAAATATGTTCATAAAATTGTTTTCTTATTGAAAATTTATCCTGGTGTAAGTGATTTTGTTAACAGTTGTTCTACTTTTTTAGATTTTATTTTCACATAACATTTACATGGCTTTTAATTCTGTTTATAAACTCACGTCTTTACATCCATAGCATGAATGTGAACTATTATTTGGTTTAACACCTTATCAACAAAGGGTGTATCTGTTGGAATCACACTCCAATTACAATTTTTTTAGAGTGGCGGTGTGTACTTCTGTATTGCCACCCCAGTAGCACAGTGGCATGTCTAGGGACTTACAACGCTAGAAGCCGGGTTTCAATACCCGTTGTGAGCAGAGCAGACATACCCCTTTGTTATCTTTGTGCTTAGCTAGAAACAAACAAACAAAACGTCTGTATTGTTTTAAATAAGAACATTTCTGGTTTACTTTTCTAGCTTTATAAATCAGTCACACACATAGCACACAAGTAATAAATATGGAATAAGTCTGTGAGCTACATATCTCTGATGTATTTCCCTTGTTTCTAAAGACATATTAACAAACAAACACTAAAACAACAAAGTTATGCCTAAAGATAGTTGAATGTTTCGCGTAATTTTAAAACAGGGTCCTCATTCTTCAATCTCTAGGTGCCGGGCGTTGATGAGCATGGTCTTCCACTGATCCCTCCATGTCTTCTGTTGCTCTAATCCTTTCTATAGTGGTAATTCCTAGTTCCTTGGCAAATGTTGATAGCAGCATCTGGCCGCACCCGTACCTCTTGGTAAATATAGATATATTTAAACTTTTGCTATCAGTACATAACGCTTTTAAGAGTCCTTGTTTTGCACATTATCGCTTTAGTGAAATATTTAAAATCCTTAAATCTGACGTGACACGTTTGCTCTGTCTATACAGTAACCTAAGTTATTTTTAATTTTGTAGTAGATTTATATTTAGATAACAGCTGTTTTCATGAAATATAAGGAAAACTGACAGCATGACCGACTTTAAACATCTGAAGCACTCTTTGTGCAGTTGTGAATATTAATCACTTTGAAGCAGACGAACACTGTTAGGTTTCGTAGAGTCGCTCGTACAGTATTTCACTTATCTTGGTAAGGTGTTGTAAAACAACAACAACAAAAAGAAACGTTTAATGTTTGTTATGAGATGTTTTATTAACTTTTTCCAGATGCAAATAATTTATTCACAGCGCAAGACAAACTAAATTTGAAGCAACATTTTTTAAATTAATTATACCAAAAGAAAAATATACTAGTGTTTAGGAAGTAATATGGTAAATACCCAGTAATTACGAAGTTTATAACACCCGTGTTTCATTTACTTTGTATGATAAAGCAGAGTTATTATTGTTCATACTTTTTTTACGATACCCACCGTCAGAGTTCCACCCCAAGGGATGGTCAGATTTCCAAAAATGTAATAACCTAGTCCATGACGTGGTTTTGTTGCTTAGTGGTAAGGATCTGTCATGCAAAAAATCCTGACATCCTAAACTAGTCACGGAAGGGATTGCGGACCTAAAGTATCTTCAGAAAAAAGATACCAGAAATGTTTACAAATGTATTTTACAGTCCCGTACTTCTTTCCTTCCAGACTACATAAACATACACTATTGATTACGTGCGTTTGTTCTCTGTAGGCTAAGTTTTTCGAGGCTCCTTTGACTTTCAAAGAAGAGTATTTGAGTTCTAAACAAATTAGAATTTAATAGCGGATACTGACCACATAATATCTTGTTATTGACCAAGTGACTGACTTGTAGCTGACTGTGCTAATCCGTAAGGATCAGTTAGTGTGTACGTAGACAGATGGCTCGCTGGTTAGGTGCATACATATTTGAGGCGACGATGTGAGCATGCGGCTTATCAGATTAAAACCAGACTTATTCTACGTTTGTACTTTGTTGATTGTGTGCTACATGTATAACACACTTAGCCCACACTTATTTCATATTTGTTATTACTTGATTGTGTGCTATGTGTATATCACACTAAGACCACACTTATTTCATGTTTCTTATTACCTGATTGTGTGCTACATGTATATCCCACAAAGCACACTTTTTAATGTTTGTTATTACTTGATTGTGTGCTACGTGTATATTGCACTAAGACCACACTTATTTCATGTTTCTTATTACCTGATTGTGTGCTACATGTATATCCCACAAAGCACACTTTTTAACGTTTGTTATTGTTTTATTACTCTATGGTGTATCACACCAAATTCACGCATTTTCTAAGTTTGTTATTCCAAAATTATCAATTGGTATTATCAATTGATATTTTTCAATAAGCATATAGCTATTCTATATTTGTTATTCCCTGGTTAGCACTTACTGCAACATACTGAACCAACACTCCCTCCATGTTTGAAAATACCTGCTTATTATGTCATATAGCACAATAAACCATACAAACCAAATCCTTTTGTTTTTCTCTTGGTTTATCTGTTACGTATTAGAATTTCAAATGGTCTGAAACCGAGCTAAACGATACTTTAAATTTAGTAGTGAAATTGTACTTTGGATTTAGCAGTTAAGTAAAAGCCGATGTATAGTCAGTTTATGACATTTGCCAACAAGATTGATACACACAGTTTTCTTTTTTAACACAAATGCGTTTTAATATACACGCAACAATACAATTTAAATAACAGTTATTACATATAGTTATTACAAACAATGATTTATAAACAAAAGTTTCACAATTTACAACCAAAATAATGTCTTCTTTCTAGTCTGGAATTTCTTCTCTATCTTATCGAGGGCTCACGATGAGGAGTTGATTACGAGTTGACGTAGGTATAATTCACTTAACAGGGAGCTAGCTAGCTTCGTCCTTCGTTATTTACCAGCCACACACGCCGAGTTTTCTACGATGAATTTATATAATGTTTTCGTAAAAATACTAATGTCCGATGAGAATCCACTGAAGTTAAATGATTTGAAATGTTCGAACTTTGTAAATGCCCCTGGTCAAATACATGAAGTTTTCCGTTTGATAAGCGTTATAACAATCACAGTTATAGTTTCCAAAGTTTATAGCACACTGACAATAGCGAACTAATAATAGATACTCTCCCTTAGGCGCGTCGCGTTGGTTATATTTATAAGCGTGTGGAGGTTTTCTAGAAATTTCAGTTTTACGTAGCAATACTGACGCTAACACAAGCG